ATGTAATGCAATCTAATGTAATGTAATGTAACGTAAGGTAATGTAGTAGATGGATGGATGGATGGATGTATATATTTATTTATTTATACATATATATATATATGTATGTATGTATTCATGTGTTCAGCACCCGAACTGGTAACTCTCCCAGACGGCATTCAAGGTGCCGCAATGCGCACTGAACTCGAAGCCGGTGCTTTCTCCAAACTGAAACTGCAAACGTCTCGGCGTGGTCGTGTACCACACCAGGAACTGGTCTGTACAGGCAGTCGGGACTGGAACAAGCAGTACCCAGGTCACTTGGCATGCCAAGTCCAGCTGCCAAAGTCCAGCTGCCGCGCCTAACTACTAACTAATTACCGCACTTGAAATAATTTGTCGACTCCCTCGCAAGCAACCCAAGCGACGAGTTTTATCGTCGACTGAGTCCTGTATACGCGACGAGGGAACGGAGACATTCTTGATGCAAAGCGGGTTCGCATCCCCCATTACACGCGAGGCTCATCTGCGTGTGGTAAGCTTTTCCAGCTGAGGCTGCTCCTCAGCGCGCGTTCACACGGACGCGTTTGAGAGAAAGGTTCACCTCTGGCCTCCGGTGCCTCCCTCTGACTGCGCTCAGCTCCTGGCCGAGCCGAGGCGGCCAGAGCAGCTCCAAGTAGCAGCGTGATAATTTGGAAGATCGCACCTTACACAGAAAAACAGTGACAGCTGGCAGCGGCTGGCGGCTGGCATGCTTTGAAAACCTGAGCTGCCATCAAGGGTCCGTAAACGCCGGCACCCATTGCATAGCTTAAGGTGCCAAAGTCGCCCAAGCCCATGCCATGTCCCGCAACTGCGCCCATGATCATTGCGGCAATCATTAACCCAGCTGCAGCAGTGGCCAAACCACTGCACGGCAGCAAGAGCCTGACAGTCGCGAGTGCGAATCGAGCGCCCGCAGTCGGTCAGTCGGGCCTTGCTCCGAGTGAAGGGTCAAGCGCACCACCGCAGTTCAACAGCGCCACGACGGAGATCAAGGCAGCGAGGGTCGCGACGATTGAAAAGCAAACAGCCGCATTCACCTGATTAAGACAGACTTCAAAGCTTCGCGACAGGTGCTGTTCCGTGCTTCAACTCCCCAAGCACCGGGCAAACCCACGTGTTGTATGAATACCGGAGCAGATCTCTTCCTGTGCACCACAAGTCTTCGTCTTCCGTGCATACTAGCATGGCAGTCAGGACGTCCTGGATCTGTACTTGGAAGTCGCCACCACACAAAACGGACGAGTCCAAGCTCACGGAGGGCAGGCTGACACCAAGGACGTCGGAGCGCCCAGCGAACTTCCACAGGCTTAAACCACCTGAGGACATCAACAAAGGCTCTAGTGCTTCTTGCAGACTTTCTGATGGCTGAAGCCCAGTGACCCTGCGCGGAGGCCAACCCGGCAAATGCGGTGGCCCCCACAGCACCCTGCCACCACACGCACGACAATGCCACCTCAGGTAGATCAGCAGATCAGTAGTCAGTAGTGGCGTGCTTGTGAAGGTAGGTCTCCAGGTTTGTGACGAGGAACCACGGAGCAAAAGCTTCCCACTGCCAGTAAGGCTACGGCAACGAAGGCCTGAACATCAGTCGGCAGTAAACTGTTACACTCTGCAGGCCGCAGTCAACGTGTCTCTTCTTGCGTGTACTGTGGTGCAGTATGCGCAAGAGACTCGAAGGATGGCAGTGTAGCTGTGGCTTGCTTCTCCACCATCCCAAAGCACTGTGAAAAGCTGGCTCGAGCGGTTCCAAATCGAACGACAAGCTGCTGAACCTATCCCGGGCCGTTGCAGCAACGACACCATGGCACCCCAAAGTCTGTGGCACTCACCCAAGCCTGCGATGCTCGAGCCAGTGCCAGAGCAGAGACGAGTAAGCAGGACACCCACCCAGCCACACCAATCCTATTCGCACAACTCGGGCCTGCAATCTTTGGCTTCGAGCGCATGACCCGTACTAATTTGTCGGATGCGCCGGCACATCGGCGCCGTGCCCAGCCTGGCAGGCATCAAGCATAAGAGCAACGGTTCTAAGAAGCCCAGGGGACTAACGGGCACCATATTTCTTATTATAGGGACAAAAATGGATGACGTTTCGTTGGCCGACTATCAAACCAGCGAACAGCTTGGGTGGAACCCTGAATCCAAGCTCCGTGATGGACAGGCAGGTTACACGAGCGACGACACGGAAGGAGATGCAAGTAGGCAACTGGCTCTACGGCCTCTTCCGTCCCGGCCGCAGAAGCCCCAGATCTGGCCTGGTCCGGAGGTTCGTCCACCTGCACTCCGGTAGAAGCCACAAGCACAGCAATCGTCTCAGCTTGCAGAACCCTGCCGAACCTCGGGCTCTTCTGTCCTGCTTGGTGATGACATCCTGTCAGCTCTCCCAGGCTCTCCCAGAAGCGACATAGGAAGCACCCGAACTTCCGGTCTTCTCGGCCTAAAACCTTCTCCGACCTTCCCTTCATGCCAGCAATGATCAAAGATACAGCACAGGTGCATGTGAGCTGTCACTGGTGCCGTCCAGACAAACGAGGAAGCGTACTCGTAAGTCGTAAGACATTTGCACGTGTTTGGGGGCGGAAGGAAAAGCGCTCCTTTTTCGACTCTCACGCTCGCACCAGGCAGGCAAGGCGAGCGCCGCAGCTGCCTTCCTCGTGCTTGTCTTTGACCATCACGGGCAAGCAAAGGCTCAGCTGAACTGTACAACAACAGAGCCGTTGCCATCTGCACAGCAGCCCGCTGGTCGCCCTTTCGTCGCCTTGGGGCCTTGCGGGAGGTCCCGCAGATTTCATGGGCTCTTTCCCTTTCTGGGGGCCTGGGCCTCCCGGTGCAGAGCTGCAGCCTCCGTGACGGGACGAAGCTGCTCACGTCTTGGGAGGTCGAAGACTATAGGCCGATGGGTCGGGTTGTACTCCGAGGTGCAGGTTGAGGCATTCACAAACAGGGTGACCTCATCTGTCGTGCAGCCGTGGTCTTCATGGAGGTGGCCAGCCACCACCACCTCAGGGGTGCAACACAGGCGATGCTGGCTTTGAAAAATCTCTGCACCTGCCCTGACTTCCGAAGCTGCGAGTGACTCTACTGACTGAGTATTGAAAGCACCCGGCCGAGATAGCGCGGCTCTGAACAACTTCCAGAAGGTCCTGGCATCCGACCCTGCCATGACGGCAACGGTCTCCATGACCAGCAGGCGGCCCGTGCACCAAAAGGATGTCCGTATCATCCGGAATGGCTTCCCACTTCTTGCGGATCTCCTGGCCTCTGGGCAGATTGAAAGCCCAATCGCAGAAATCCGGCTGCCATGGTGACCCATACACTTTGTACCCGAGAACGTCCACGGAAGAATCCTCCAGGTAAGTGCAGCCTGTCAGTGAGCTCCGCGCCTTGTGGCAATCGTATGCACCGCCTCTGTGAAATCGTGCAGCACCACGTGTCTTGTAGTACTGCTCATGGAAGGTAATGTCGTGGTTTCCGGCAATGACGATTTTCTCTTGTGCTGGGTATGCTGAAAGCCACTCACCAAAGCTTTTCACTTGCTCCGGCTCGCCTGTATTCGTGAAGTCACCTCCGCAGAAGATGCACTTGCAAAGACTGCGTCCGACACTTAATATGGAAAGTCTACCATTCCCCCAAAAAAAACAAGTGTTGCTCTTGCCATTGCCCGACAGTTCGAGCACATGAAAAGGCAGCTGAACAAAGTAGACGTACCTAGAGGTTTTAGAGTAGGTGACACTTACTAGGCACTAGTCGTAACTAGTCGTGCAGGTAGCAAAGTTTACATCCCCAGTCCGACTAGCCCCACAGAAACGGGAAGAACAGCCTGCACTTCCTCCACCGGATCGAGTATAAGGCGAGTCAACCGGCAGAAATTCGACAGCACTCTGTAAAGGCCCTCGGCATCGCTGCCGCCCACGTTCGCTTACGTGATGTCACGTGGTTCCGACCCCGGAAAGAATGGACTCACGAAACGAACCCACTGCCTGTGAAGCAACCTCAAAATTCTGATAAGCTCACCCGACCACTGACGATACGGGGATCGGCCCCTCGTTCTTGTTTTCCACCCACTCATTGATAGCCTAGATTGAGCTGTGACTTCCAGCTGTGCCTGCATGTAGGAGCACGTCGGCTGGTGGACGATGCTCCCGTGGGATGAGGTCATGCATGCCATGGGTATCACCTGAAGATACTCTGGAATGTTGCATGAAAAGGGTATGCATGTTTTCGCGAGCACTTGCTGACATGGCACTGAAGCAAACGAACCTGATGTGGCCTTCAGCTTTCTCTTGGCTCCATGGATAGGGTACCACAGCAGCACCCGCCGGCGCCCAAGAGAGGCTGTTCACCAGCACGAGGTCCTGATCTCGTCAGGGCGGAGGAGAAAGCAGGAGATGTCAAAAGTCATGCTTCAATGGCCCGTCCTCGGCACGGAAGTCACCCTCCACGCCATCGTCGTCAAATTCGACGTTCCACGTCCCGTCTTCATTGTCCAACGCGACAATTCCGAGGCCCCGCCCATGCTTGAAGACTCGCGCTCCGACCTCCATGGCGCGCTTTCAATGCACCACCCGCCAGCCAAGAAGTCTGAGCCCACTTGCGATTGTGAGAGATACCGCACTGATGCCACAACAAAAATTTCAGCCGAACACAGCTTCCTCTGTTTTCTGACCGCTGTCCACATGCCGCATCCGATCTAGCTCGGATTCACGTATGTATGTCGACGACACCCCAGACTGATCGTCAGCAACCCAAACGATAGAGGTGGTGGGATCCCTGCAGATCGGGCACCTGTGCAAGCCCACAGCGCAAGCCTCGCAAGTGCTTCGACCAAGCAGGAAACGCGCAGTGCACTGCACAGATACTGCACATTGTGACAGCAGACCTGCCTGGCACAGACACAGGTGCCGGCAAGGCTGGCACAACATCCGACGAGGGCCATCCAAACAGACCACGCAAGGCTGCCGCGGTCGATCTTCATCTCCATGCAAAATGCCAGGCTTGGAAAGAAGCAGCTTCTGGCAGAGCGGGCCACATTTGTGAGACATGAAGAACATGTCTATACCACGGCGGCCCAAGTCAGCAATCCCGAACTGCTTCTGCAAACTGTGAATCTGCGGATCGGTCCAAGTCGTTCCAACTCCCTGAATATCAACGCACAGCTCCTGACCTCCGGAGTCTTGAAAAGTAAAGTGGCTGAACGCAGCAGCAACCTGCAGGGCACCGCAGTCTAGGCCGTCTTTCAAGTCTAGGCTGTAGGCCGTGAGTGACAGGGCTTCAACTGGGACTTTGGGCATCCAACCTCTGCAGCCTGCCCGCTCTGAGAGTCAACAAAGCCATCGTTGCCATTAAGCTTGACATAGTTTCCTGAAATGTAGCGCTCGGCTGTGACGTAGCGGCACCCAGCCTCTTGTGCCTCGTCGCTGATCTTGAGGACATACGCTGGCACAAACCTCACCTTGGAACACTCCGACTCCCTGACTTTGTCGATGGCAGCGTTGAAAGCTTTGGCAAACTCCTGCGCCCGACGGTGGTTTTGCAAAAAGAACTTGTGCACGTCCTCGGCCCTGCATCCAGGAGTCGCATTCGATCAGCCCAAACCCCCACAAACCGTCCATGTTGTGCTCACAACAGTGCAAAGCAAGACAGGCGTGGCCTGTGCTTTGCGACAAACTTGCTTTCCTTCACGACCAAATGAAATCTGGAGCCGGGCACCGCATCTTCAGAGTACCAGTGCGCACTCCGGGCATGATATGCATATCCTCAGTCCGCAGTGCTAGTACGATGCTCAATTAAAACCGCGTGATCATGCGGAAGCCCACAATGCTTTCGATTGAATTAACGAGGTTCGAAGTGCTCCCTGCGCAAATGGCTGGTGATGCAAATACCTCAGGTATCTCACGCAATCCAACCGGACAGCCCGCGGGGCCGGAGCTGACAATGCACAAATCAATGTACCACTTCGTTTTGATCACTGCCTGTTTTACCAAACCTTCGCACCCCACAGCATGCTCAAGGGAATCCTCGACAAAGCGGCACGAGGCGGGCGTCTCCACATGCACGCAAATCATCCTCCCCTCTCTGGATCATCAGCCAGGCCCAGCCTCAATAAAAAAGGCCCCCAGCCAAAGGCCCCCACTGAAGAGATGACCTCTGATGCTTCCGCGCTCTGCCAAGGCCAAGTGGCACGGCCGAGCGCGGCTTCGGAGCTCTGATGCGCTTCCGCGCCATGCATCGGGTGGCTCTAGGTCCTGCCGGGATAAGAGGCTTCAACCCGGCAATACTCACAAGGATACAACATGGCCGCTGGGTTCACAGGCCATGAGACTCTGGGTTGAATGCAACATGTTTGGCAACATCGTCCTTTGGAGGCACTCGGGTCAGGGCCTCCTCGCCAAAGCCGAGCAGTGAGCCGTGCAAAGTAGACACCTTGAGCTGTCGCAGCACCCCAGGCACCCCACCCTCCCTTCCGACAGGAATTTCACAAAGAGGTGTTCTTGTATGCTCTTGCTGAGGCCACCACGGAGGTTCCTAGCTGGCCGAAAATGGACTGCAATTGTTCATGAACGACTTGACAATCATGAAATGTGCCGCCACCGAGGCGTGCCAAGCTCTGCAGCATCGACATGCCAAAATCACCAAAGCCAACCGTGTGCAATATACACGTGTTGCCAAATTCCTGACGGATTGCGCACATAGCATTTTCAATACAAGCTGTGGGACGGTGCTCCCAAATAACTTCGGTTGGTTCACCATCGCTCAGAAGGATGCCAACTGTCATTCCACCAGATACCAGGCTTCGGAAACCTGCCAGGGCTTCCAGGTATCGCCCGGTGCCTTTCGGTCGAGTCGCCTTGCAGACTTCCCGCACCAATTCTTGCAGACGCTGGTCCACCTCCCGCCTGCAAGTCGGGCGCGGCCGTAAACGTGGGCACATGCACAAAGAAAACTTGCACAGGCCTTTCAAAGCAGACCTTGAAAGTGTCGTCAAACGTCACCAGGGAACAAACGATGCCATCCATGCCCAGAATGGCTTGCAGGAGATTCTGCACCGCATCAAAAACCATCTGGATTCTGTTCTCGCACTCCATGCTGCCAGAGTTGTCGACGAGAAAAACCACGTGAGTAATGGATGCTGTGCTTCCAACCTGGCAGACCGCCGCCATGGCAAAACATAACACAGCATGGGCAGTACAACCAACTCACGCATGTCTGTAGGATCGTGAATGCGCTCGCTCAATGACACCCATCCTGTTGGTTGCCCTCCTGCTTGTTACCCTATGCTCTGTGGCGACCAACGGCACCTTGCTTCCTGCATACATACCCAGGTCCGCCGTGCCTCTGACCGCCTCTTGTTGCTTGCTTGCTGCTTGCTTCATGGCATAAGCCACTCGTGCATCAGCCCGGGTTTGGCTGGGAATCCTCTGGTGGGACTTCCAAATGTCTCCTTATCCTTCTAATTCTTACTAACCATGCATCCGTTCATCTTTCGATCGTATAAATTATATACTCATAACCATGTTGCCAAGACCGCATTCCTTTGCGAGGCACTGACGTCCTCCTTCTCTTCTTCGCTGGCGCTTTCGGCGGAAGCATCGCCCCGGCCATGATGCAAGGGCTCTCTTGTTGAGAAATAGGGCGACATAAGATCAAGCTGCAGACTGCCACATCTTGAGCACTCAAGGACTCGCGAGACAGATGGACTGAAGTTGCCCCTGCCCCCAAGAACCAAGGAAAGCCACGTTTGCAGGAGCTACTTCTTGTTCTGGGCTTGTGGAAGTGTCTGGCTGTGTGGGCTTACAGTAGCGGCCCGCTATCCCTGAAGGAAGCATCAAAGTTGACTTCAACCAAGATGGTGGCCTGGTCACACGAGGCTTCGGGCAACTCTTCCATGGCTTAAGGGGCTAGCCTTTGGCCGAAAAGAGTTGGTCGCGGACCTGCACGACTCGCACGCCCGCCTCCTCCCAACGGTCGGGGGAGTCTGCGGCGGTCTCAAATATACGAACATCGCGGTCTAAGTAGAGAACACGGACAAGGCCCGGTCCGGAGATGGCTGAAGACAGGAGTGGAAGGCCGAGGATTACAAGGCCCCCCCGCTCGATCTGCACAGCGAAGTCTTTCGGACAATCCTCTGCCCGATCGACAGCCTCAAAGCTGCCTTCTGCTGTGAAATAAACACCTGATCCCACCACTTCCCCGTAGTTCATGACCCGACCGGCTGCAGAGTCAAAGGCCTGGCCAGCCTTGTTGCGAAACAGTGGGCGCAGGAGCTGTGCATTGGCTTCCCAGCCAGGAGTTCGGCCCTGAATGTATGCCACGCGCCACAAGTCCTCTTGGAGCGTGCTGGAGCCAAGCAGTTCCGCACGGCATTGCACGCGCGCCTGGCGAAGTTCTGCGATGCACTCGTCCACGGTCTTCCGTATGCCAGCGTCGAAACCATTAGCTTCCGCAGCAATCAGAAGGTCTCGCAGCTTTTTGGCGCAGGCCGGCGGCTCAGGTGGCCCAAAATTAGGCCACGGAAAGTACACCTCAAATTTTGGCAGCCAGCTTAAGCTGCCAGAATCACTGGCACGTCGCCTGCATCGATGACCCTTGCGTTGGTGGAGCTGGTGTCGCCACAGCAGTCGCGCGGCACATGTGCTGAGGCCAACACTGCAGAAAGTGGCTCGGGGGAATGCCGCCTTTCTGGTAGGCACAAGGTTTCCATCCCCGACTTGCGGCACCACAATCGTGGGAGGAGACAGAGACTGGCAGGTGCAGAATGCCTGCATCCTTGGGAACTCAGGCTTGGGCCACACCGCTAGGCCGCTAGGCTAGCATGGCTAGCCAAGGGTCAGACACATATTCGCTCCCAAGCTGATTTGGTGCATGCGGGTCTTTTTCTGCCCGCAGCGACGTCAACGGACAGTCTGCCGGCAAAGTCGTGCCGGTTCACGCGGCATCTGAACATCGCCGTCAGGAGCAGCCCCATGAAGTGCAGCAAATGAACGGGTGAAGGCCGCCTCGCTGAGAGATTCATCCTCGGTATGCATTACATGCTTCCATTGAGACCGTTGCTCCTGCAAGCGAGCTTCTCCCACTCACCGGCTGCCAATGTGCGTGCCTCAGGGCTTTGTCGACTTCTGCACACGCCGCTCACGCGCACGCTTTAAACCAGCGTGCACAACGCCGCCTCGCACCAATTTGCCAGAGCTCGTCCAGACGGTCTTTCGGACAGGTGCCGCGCAGCACGAAGAAGACTGCGATGCCTATGGCATATATCATCTCTGTCAAGCACAGACACCACGGCCTTAGTCTTGGCTCTTCACATGGCATAGAATAAAACTGTTAAAGAATGCCACACGACCGTTTCTGTGCGTCCAAGCCACAGTTCTGACATGATGCCTCGCAGGAATTGCAGTCTCACCGAAAGGCTCTGTGCACATGTACGGCAGGTCTTCTTCGACTGAACTGCTGCCCTGCTGCTGTGCTTTGCGGGCAACAATCGCAAAGACCCGTACAAGGCTATAGTCCCACCTGTAAAGTGCCAGAGGGTATGGCGCCAAATCCATATCTCAAAGGCCTTCGACTGGGTGGAATACACCTGGATCGAAGCAGGCTGCATGCCAGGTGTACAAGGGTCGAGCACTTCAAATCCAACAAAACTTCCTGCGGCATGGGGCAAAAGCGCAGCATGGCACCAACACCAGCAGAGCGGTTTCCCAAACAGTGGCGCGGAGGTAGAAGTCAAAGGTTGACAGGAACAGGGTGCCGGATGCCACGACGATGTCGACCCTTCCTGTGCTGCCAGATCAAGGATCATTCGCCCCGGCCCCGGCCGAAGCGGTCAGAGGTGTTAACAGGGAATCCCTCTTCACGCCTTACTCCCCAACCCCCGGCTTAGCCGGGCCACCTACCTCCCCCCCCCCCACCCCCACGCACACTTGTGCAATCCTCCCTCTGGACTGATTTAGCATACATGTTAGCAGTCTTTCCAACACAGAGGAGTAGGACCTGAAGAGGATTTTGGCTTAGCCTCTCGCCATCATCACTTGTGTGGGGTTCTGGGCTTAGCCCCTGGCCATGCAAT